TTATTTATGTAACTTCTTAAATTGTATAATTAGCACCTTGCAGCACGCAGGCCCATGTGGAAATTGTGGTCATGCTGTTGGTCTCATGACACTGACCCGACTCTGTCCAATATTACACTGACTGGACAGAGGACAAGAAGGGGTAAAAAGTTCACTACCATTTGTTCAAAATGATTCGCTTCAAAAATGTTGATTTTATCTGGGGCTCTACCATAAAAATATTTCAAAATATCTTATTATATTGGTGATTTGTTTCTACGTTTGTAACCTTCCGCGTCTCGAAATAGGCTGCCCCTGCTCTCCCCAACACGCCTGCCTGGCAACAGCTGGCATCGAGGGAGGAGAAAAGTTGCTCCAAAAGCTTTTTTCCAGTTTGTCTGGACTTAAATTGGCGTTAAATTAAGGCAGAACATGAAGAGTGTGAGCTCGTCGGAGCACGAGCTGGTTAAAGTCCGTATTTCCTCTGACATCTCAGCGTTATCTGGCTCTGATCAGAGCTTTAATATGATTAGTCTGGTCGGAAACACCTCGCGCGCTGCCTGTCTTCGTGTGGTCACGAGGCTCGTTGAAGAAAGGACCTGGTTTTTGTGGCGCGCGCGAGAGAAAAAGAAAAAAAACTGACTTGTCTTTGCGACCTTGAGGCAAGGTCGTTCCCTCTCTCCGCCGCAGACACCGCAACTCTGCGGGGCTGCATCCCAACCCCTCTGCTGCAGAGCCCGCAACCCTCTCCGAAACAGCCGGACGAGTTTTATAAGGATTTTACTGCTCCACCGTTTATTTACACGTGTCGTTACAGTGCGAGACTAGTAAAGAAGGAAGGAAGGATGAGAAACACGTGGGAGCTAGCTGGGGTCCCCAGGGTGCCCCTTATGGCAGGTCGTGACCTCAGACAGGTGTAGGCTGATGGGCTTTATAAATAACCCATTGTGCAGGAAAAAAGACTGCATCAGTGAGTCATGGATTACACAATTGATTTAAAAAAAATCATGTTTCAAACAGCCTCAAGGTTTGATCATTATCTGATGAAGCCTTAAGGATGCAGAGCTTCAGTTGGTCTCCAGCTTCAAACAATAGCTGGAGTTAAAACCTGAGCACAAAGAAAAAGAATGTGCCAAGAAACTTTCGCCCCAAAAGTTTTAAACTGACAGCTAACCCTTCAAGGTTAAACCTTGAAAAGAACATTATAACAAGTCATGCAGTAGTGCTCAGAGTATGTGTTGTGACTGACTTTCAGCTACTACCACACCAAAATTTAGCTCATATTCTGTAAAATTGAGTTATAGACATTTTTGTGTTGACCAAAGTCAATTAGCCGTGGCAGACGTTTTAGATTTTGGTGACTCCAAATGTCCTTCAGGTAGGCCCTATGTACATCTAATTTATACTTCCTGAATGTTTTCCTTACAATTTATCCAGCGGTTCATGAGATATTTTGCTAACAGACTGGATTGATGTTAACATTTTTAGACAAAGTTAGGGTGTGTTGGTGGCAACTTTTAGCTTATATCACACTAAATATTTTCTCAATATCTATTAAACTGACTGAGTTTGAGCTATTTTTGTGTTTGCTAAGGTGGAATAGCAACAATAATCATTTTGAGTTGACTTAAAAGTTGTAGATGCTCATACAATGATTACCATATGAGAGTTTAATCAAATCCGTTACATAGACCATGACATATTTTACCAATAGACAAACATGCAAATACATTTTAGCCCATATTTTTGCTTTAGGCAGCAGACATTAGAAACGTTTCTGTTAAAAAGACCGAGTCCCTGTCAGCTTTAAATATGTATATGTTACGTTCTAATGATTACCCATAAGGTCAATGTCTACAAATACAATCAGCTGTTTCTCAAACTGAACCATAGAACCTTGAAGTGTTGATGTGTTCAGGCTGACAGTGCTGCGTCAGTAAAATAACTAACTCGTTTGCTGTAGATGCTTTGGTTAAAATATCTGATGCCCAGCTGAGTAATTAGAAAATGTGGAACAGTTCACAGATTGAGCGCTGGCTTAAAGAAGCACCATGTATGGTTTCTAATTCAGATTTTGTTTTTGAATCCAGGTCAAGCATGCGCCATGCACTTCAAACGCTGCCCACCATTCCTCCTCTAGTGGCAATGTATAGAGGCTGCAGTGGAAGAACTGATGACGTTATAGTAGCTGAGTGTGTGTGTCCTCCAGGAAAAGGTCACCCACTGCCTTTGCACATCATCACTCCCTCCTGACTTCCTGATTGCAATGCCAGAATGCTGCCTTTTTCTTTAGGCATATCCTGCAGGAATGTGTCTTCTTTCCAAAGGCTGGATTACAGAAGCACTCCGTGTTTCTGCTCCTTTTCAGTGCTTCCTGTCTCAGTGAGTCGAACTAAAAATATATCCACACCAGAGATTCTAAACCGTGTCGCATCAAATAATTCACAAAATAACAAAAGAGGTAAAATCAAAGTCTACATGATGTATTGAATGATACCACACAGCTGAATTTGCTGAATCGGCATGTGTCTGCCATCTGCTGGTTGTGTTCAGGGTGAGGAAAGTAAGTCCAAGATGAATCTGACTTTTATGACGATAATAAAGATGTTTTTTTTTATTTTATTCAAATATTAATAAACAAACAAGAAAACTGCAGCCACCCTCGATAATGGGGTCACATTTTTCCTTGGTGCCACGTTCTTCAGACTGGAACAAGCTTGTGTTTCCGTTGCAGTATCACTTACGTGGATCACCTTAAGAAGTCTCAGCACACTTTAAAAGAGCCAGACTGATGACTCGAAGAGTATTCAGTGGTACCTTCTCAATACCTTGTTTGCTTTTAAAATCTGGCAACATCTTTCTGAACTGGTCAACAAAAAAAGTTTCAGAACGTGGCAATTTTTCAAAAACTACGCTTTTATTTTTGTATATTAGGTCCCTTTCATACTGGATGATGACCCTGCTATGCTCTCCACGACCTCCATGACCTACTAGAACGGGTCTGGGTTGCAACGAATTTGGTTAAGGTCCTTCAATGTGAATGTAATCATGAAGCTGCTGTGCTGTTTGAACTTGCCACATAGGTTTTCCCAGCTGAAGTATGCATCCCTGATACAGTTTTGTGCACCATTACCCCACCTTGAATGTCCGCAGGACATCCCTACATGACAATTTGATTGAATACGCCCACAGACTAGGCCCCACTTAGCACAACTGTCTAGGACCACATCAGAATGCATCTTCTTACATCACAGAAGGATAACATCACCACCATGGGATCACCTTATGGTTGTTTCCATGACATCAGTAGCATGAGAGACTGTAGGTAAAGGAGTTTTCTTAGCAGAACCTCAGCCACATCCACCCATCTTTCAGGCCCGACTATGATGAGAACAAGTCCATCTTGTTTTGCTATCAAAAGATGACTAAAGGGAGGGCTGAGTGTGGCACAGTATTTATTGGCACACTAGACTGGAGGAAGTGGATTGGTCCTTTTAACCATGCGATGAGAGTGCATTCCAATCCTGGTTGTAGCAAGAGCGGTAGCGGGACATGAAGTACATAGCCACTGCACCAAGGGTGTTGCAAGAACTTTCTTGGAGGGCTGCCAGTGTGGTGGCGTCTTGATGGAGTTGTAGCCTAGGTATGAGCGCATCTTGGCTAAACCTCATCAGATTCTCAATGGCCAGGCCACTTCATGTGCACATATTTACCACAGTATATGCTGCCACCATAATAAACCTTTACAAATTCACTACAGAAGGTTTTGTGCAAGTTCAGAACCCATGACAGCTCATCACACATCTGCAAAGAAATCCCCAAGACCCTGCAAAGACCTTCTGGCATCTTTTTATGTTGTAGTGGGGTCATCCTGCAGTATGAGGGAGGCCTTGGCGGTGTTGTTTGAAGCCATCCTAGTGGCAAAGCTATGTAGCATGTGGGTCCCTTTACTACAGTCCTGTTCTTCAAAACAAGACTGTTTACAGTGGAAACCTGTCACAAAGGGGGAATGAAACAGACCATAAATAATGTTGGTTATCATTGAACCTGTTTTAGTAACTATTACAAAGAGACAAATGCCTTTAATTTTTTGGCTAATTTGTTGGAAAGACAGTGTGTGCTGTCGTGCTTCTGCTTTCAAGTCTGTAACTTTACATATTTAAATCAGAAAAAAAGCAAAGAATTTTAAGTTTTCATTTCCTTTAAAAAAAAAACTTTATTTACTATATGCATTATGATTAATGAACTTGGCAATCAAAACACAAATAATGCGGTTACACAGTATGTTGTAAAAACTGTTACAAAAAAACTAACCAAGTTCAGTCATCTGGACAGTTAATTTTTTTGTTGAGACGTTTCGTCTTTCATCCAAAGTACTTCATCAGGCTATGATTATGGCTGCCTCAAAGGAGTCGACAGGGGAGAGGGTGGGCCCCAGAAGCCGTCTTATCACCAGCAAACTGGTTGGCCCACTATGTGAGTGTGCTGCTCGTGGGACTTAATTTGTTGTGGCTCCTCAGACTGATGATGTCCTTTGGATGATGGGCGAAACATCTAAAAAAAAATGTCAAGATGACCTGACTGAACTTTGCTGGATTTTTTTACCTGGATTATTGAGCAAGAACTTTGATGTTACAAAATAATATACAATCAAGTGCATGTTTATTACCCGTTTAATTGTTGGCAGGATTCCAGAGTAACGGTCTCAGAAATTAGCACCCACTTTGCAAACTAAGCATTCTGATTGCACGGGTTTTGGTTGTAGTTTCTGGATTAGTACATAAATGAGTTTGACACAGTGATAGTGCAATACAGCTTTAGCCCAATAGAGAGCAGTAACCCCTCACAAAACATGAGAACACTGCCATCAAACACTTTTCATCATTAGACTGAGGCATACACACATGCTAAAGGCAAAAACAGCAAACCACGCTAAGGTTAAGGCTCCAACATCATGTTTTCATCTTAATTAAGCATGAACCTTTCTGTTTACAGGATAAAGTTGACAGGACTTATAAGTGTCAGTCTTGAGGCTTCACTGGAAGATCTTGAACAGGCTTTGCGTCTCCGTTGGGCTGCTGTCTGTCGATGGAGCGTTTGGTTTTAGGGCTCCTCCGATGAACGGGTCTTCTGTGGCGTCTTTTCTTTGCGTGGCGAGAGTTGGGTTGTTTCGGATCGACCAGGGGATCCACATGTAGTCTAGCACTCTGAGCATCTGAGGACTCGTCAATGAAGGCAAGGTTTTCCCCAAAGTAGTCCAAAGGTTGTGACATGTGAGCATCTGGAGGAAGCTCCTCCTTGGTTTTCTCCTCAGGAACTCGGTCGGTCTGAGTGGCCTGAGAGCCTGCTTCTGATCCAGACTCAGATTCTGAAGAAGAATAAGAGGAGGAGTATGTGCCAGATTCTGATCCGTTCTCGTGCTGCTCTTCTGGCCCCTCGGGGGCCCCGTTGGCTGATGTGCTGTGACCGTGGCTGCGCTGGCCGTGGCGGCGCTTTCGCCTGCGACGTTTGAACGGGTCATCGATTTTTCCTGGGATGTGAAAGTCCACTGACATATGGTGGATGTTCTGAGTCCAGTCAGTGGCGTGAGCTCGCAGTTCCTCCATCTGGAAGATGGGGAGGACATATTTTACAATCTTTGTCTTATTATGCCTTTTGAATATTTCATACAAATTTAAACTCAGGTGTTCAGCACAAGGAAAAAATACAAAATCCTGATTTTTCTTTTCTTTTTTTTAAACAGACAGTATCCTTCAAAGACCAAATAAACCACCGTTGCTAGAGTTGATGCAAAATAGAAGACAGTACAGAACTGAACATCTGTGAAAATGCAAAATAAAATTTGACCGTGCAACTAAATTAGTGCTAGTTGTTAAATACACGTGGTTACGTCACGTGTTTTGACCCATTTGACTTTCCATACCCCATCTATTGCTCTCTACTGTTACTGTAGATCACAGCAAAACGTTTCCACACAGCTGATTTAATAAAAAAAATAAAAGTACACATACATGCAGTGAGATGCTCGTGGTACTTTTGACATTATAGGAGGACCCCCTAAAAAAAAATCAATCCAGGGTCCACATCCCCAGTACAATAGTCCCTTGCTACTTCGTGGTTTGACTTTTGCGGACTCGCTCTTTTACGTTTTTTCAACAATTGTCAACTTTAACATTACTCAAATGATTTGGATGGCATGAGATAAAAAGTTAATGAAAAAAATACCTCGGACAGGCGCCACTATTTTGTAGTTTTCTTTCAATAAGCCTATACTGTTTTGCCGGTCAAAATAACTACACTACCCAGAGGCCAACAGTGCTTCCCGCTGCTGCTTTCTGTCGAAATGGAGGGAAAGTTTTGATCTGATCTGAATCTGACCAAAAGGTTCAGTCCTAGTAACTTCGGTGCTCAGTGGATGCAGAGAGCCGTACAGAGCCGACCAGAAATTGGACCAGGACTACTTCCAGCCTCATCGGTCAGTCTGAGTGCTGCTTGCTGGCCCATGAAGTAGAGTTGCATTCGGGCCTAAAACATCCGACCCAGCCTGGCCCGAGCCAATAGGCACTGTGTCCGAGCCTGACCCGACCCAACTAATTAACTGTAATTAGACGCTCGAACCCGAAGCAAACCCAACATGTCATTTTAATTAAGCTTTTACTGCTTTTGTAAGCAAATCAGTTTGACATGATAGTTTTAAAGTTTGTCAAAGTCATATTTTCACCATGTTATTCATACATTTATAAATGTCATAGTTCCAAACTAAATATTTTGTTTAGTTTAGTTTAGTTTTAGTTTAGTTTGTCAACTAAATATTTAGTTGACTAACTTAATGTTTATGTCCAAGCTAAATGTTTAATTTACAAACTACAAATTAAATGTTTAGTTTAGGAATTAAATGTTTAGTTTAGAAATTAAATGTTTAGTTTAGAAATTAAATATTTAGCTTGGACAATAAATATTTAGTTTGGAAATGAAATGTTAGTTTTGAAAATAAATATTTAGCTTGGAAATTAAATATTTAATTTATACCTAATTATTTAGTTCACTAACTAAATATTTAACTTGCAAGTTAAATATTTGGTTTGCAAATTAAACATTTATCTTGGACATAAACATGTAGTTTGTAAACTAAATATTTAGTATGGAGCTAAATATTTAGCTTGCTAACTAAATATTTAACTTGCAAGCAAAGTATTTAGTTTGTAAACTAAATATTTAGCCTGTAAATTAAATATTTAGTTTGGAACTATGACATTTATAAATGTATGAATGACTTGGTGGAAATATGACTTTGATAAAAAAAAAAATCCTTTTGAAAGGCTAAATAAACCAAAATGTTGCTGTTAATTTTTGACTGGGTAACTTTACAAACAGCACCCCATAGAGCCACATGCGCAGTTGTGCAATGAGCCAGCACTACTCTCTTCACAGTCTGATTAATTGCTGCACTGTATTTTATTTCTGTCGCATCCTCTACAAGTAGATTAACACAATTTTCTATTATCCATGCTTATTTAGTTTTCTTTGTGCTGTATGATTCGTAAAAGCGCATCAGAAGCCAGAGCCCGACCCGGCCTGCCCATCAAACACATAATTTTGGCCCAACCTGGCCCATATTTCGAGTTGGGTCGGGTCAGGCTCGGGTCAGAAATCAAAACTCTACCATGAAGCCTCTCGAGTGGGGAGGCGTTGCTTGGAGGTCCGGTGTCTTCTCCGGAGCTCACCTGGACTTTTTTCATCCAGATCCCTCTGGATTATTTGGACATGATCAGGACCATTGTGTGGTTTTGTGGTGGCTGTCCGAAGGTCCGGCTATCTCCAAAAGCATCTGGTGCTCAATGGCTGCAGAGAGCCGATCAGAACCGAATCAAGGCTGGTGAGTACCCGTATAAAACTTTGCAGTACTGTGCAGTACATATACGTATGTTATGAAAACGATGTAGGTTTAAGAGTTTAGAACATTGCAAGAGTGTGGGAAGGGTTTATAAAGCCTTAAATATATATAAATACTAAAATAAATACAGCGTTCTATTTCATATGGGCTTGCCCTTTAAGCTACACATTTGGGTCTCACCCCGCGTGCAGCGCGCAACACTGAAAAAACTCCAGTCCACGCCCACCCACTGTGTGGGCCCCACCACTAGACCGCATAAATAGTGTACGGGTCCCTAGATCTGCTCCCCATTTTCTTCAGCCAGCGAAGCAGCACATGAAAAACTAAGAAGATGTTAGCGGATGGGATTTGTCTGCAGCTCCGAACGGCTCAGCCTGCACATCTGCACCGGAGCAGAACACGCAGGCAGGCTTTCATTTTTTCTTTAGGAGCAAGGCAAGTCTTGGACGTTTCTGCCTCCAATAGTTAGCGATCGGCCTCACCCCCCCCCCCCAGTTAGAGAGCTGGAAACATGGTTGCCGCTGACAGGTTGTTTCTCCTTCCCAGCGTTTTGGTACGCTCGTACGTGTTCTGCCCAACATTCAGGAGTGGCTAACGCTAGACCTAGCTGTGCCGGAGCCATTAGCTCCAACCTAGACTTGGCGGAACATTTAGCCGCCTCGCTCTCTGGCTGCAGTGACTCAGCCTGACCTCGTTCTAGCGTGTCGGTGTAATGTCAGGTGCAGCCTCCCAACCGCTGAAGATGAGAACACCTGTTTCTCCTCTCGAGCCAAGCCTGTCGGCTGTTTTTTCCGGGGTTAGAGCGGCTCGACATGTCGAATGACGGCCATCCGCCCTTTTCCCCAACGACCAGCTCTCAGCTAGATTCACTGACAGAATATCAGTGCACGTCTCAGAGAGCTGGAGCGACCACGTGTTTACGCTAGTGTTAGCATTCCATGCGCTGCTCGCGCCATGATTTGGGCGATGTTCCGCTACTGCAGCGGTGTCGTCCCCCCGAGTCCCACCTAAGCAGCAGAACCCGGTCACACAGCTTCTTTTGCCAGACGGAGCTCCAGGGGCATGTCTAACATGATGGGGGGGGGGGGGGGCTGTGATGACAATGTTGTTGGAAGTTTAAATAAAATGCCAACATCATTCTAAGAGCAGAGCCTTCTCACAGACAGGTCATCCGATCCTGCTGTCTTTACTCACACACACCGTGCACACAGAGGGAAACGGTAATCCTTTAAACTGTCTTAAAGGTGCCATGGTTCACCTCCTCTGCTTCGCCATCTCTCCTGTCAGCGACAAGTGTTGCACGCGCAGATGTGTTTTTAAAAAATTGGTCATCCATCCAGATGAGATTAAGAAGGAGTCGTTTGGAAGTCCCTGTTAGTCCGGACGAACTATTCAGCCCACATTTTCCAGTTGGTCCTGGATTAGCTGCAATCCTCTTCAGACGACAGACATCAGCATCAGCTGCAGAGACGCCACACAGCCGCAGCTATGTCTTCGGGGCCCCCCGCCACCACCGTTCCCAGAGGACAGCCTCTGCGGTCCCCACAGCGAACCAGAGCCGGCAGAGGTCGACAACTGGCGTGTTCCTGGTCCAACCCGCCCCAGGAGATGCAGAGAAGACAGCAGAAGAAATGACGGTTTGGGGAGGATGTGTGTAATTTCATGTGTGAAGGTTTTGAAATAAAACACAAACTTCACTCAAAGAGCAGAATCCTCCACGCTGACAGGCAGAACTCCCCTGTCAGTCCTCTTTTACGTACAGTATATCCTCCACTCTGGGTAGAAAGGTCAATTTTAAACAAATGTTTAAAAGACACCAATCCTCCACTCCTCACACATAAAAACCATATGAGTCTATGGTGAGAGCACGTGCTTCCCATGCAGATTTTATTCCTCCTTTCTCCCCTCCTTCAGCCTCCTCTTCTCACCTGGCAGTGAGAAAGGATGCTGAGGACGGGTGCTTGAACACTCTTAGTGGAAAGGTAATCTTTAAATACTTGTTTAAAAAATGCCAGACCCCCACAAGCTCCACACATCCAGGTTATGAACCCGCAGAAGGGGCACCCGTCCTACTCGGGGTTCTCCTCACTCGTCACCAGTTTTTCACTTGTTGCGAGAGTGTGGAACATAATCTCCATGATAATCACGGGACTACTATTACTACCCCTGGATAAATCAGTGGTGATTAGGTTAGATAAAACTTTATTGATCCCTTGGGAAGATTCCATCAGGGAAATTAAAAAAGAATGAAGATGAAGAAGTAAAGAGGACAAGATGATCAAACAGGAAGTACCTCAGCTCTGGTCTTCTTTGACAAAACCCGAAGCCAGTTACCAATCATTGTTAGGATGGATGCGAAGTATGCAAGACCCAGCAGGATCCAAAACCACACCAGAGGCTTGTACAGGTGGTTTCTCCAGAGGTAGTTCCAGTGGTCTTCACTGGGGTCAATCTCCTCACGTTTGTCCCCTTTATAGACAAATACACTCTGAATGAAAGCAGTCCATCCATAGAAACTAAATACTTTAGAAAAGGGGATACTGTTTAGCAGAAAAATGGATAAAGAAATCAATAATTCATCTCCTCATGTAAATCATTTTGAATAATTAATGTTGTCTGTGCTAAATGGACTTAATGCTGTATGTCTGATGGTAATATTTATGGATAACTAATTAAGTTACATCTGCTGCTTACCTACAGAGGAGTAAATACATTTGAAAAAAATATAAAGCATCAAAACAAGGGATTTATAGCAATTTATAGTTCTTTAGTTGTGTTGCACAAACAGAGAAATGTCCAGCGTAAATGTTATTGACTGTTTTAAAGTGCCCTGCCTCCTGGGCTCTGGAAGACAAATTAATATTAAACTAACATCTTCTCTGATGCCAAGTTACTACACACTTCTATACCTTTAATCATTATCATTTTAGGTTTATGGTGAGGTGATTATCATCGTCAGTACTGTGTTTTAACTTTCAGAGCCTGTGCGCTATGGTTTACCTGCAACATAGTCACCAAAGCCCACTGTGGTCAGTGTGATAACCACAAAGTAGGCAGATTCCAGTAAGGTCCAGTTCTCCACTCTTTGAAAAACCAGAGTAGGCACTGCAACAAAGACCAGGCAACCCAGCAGGATGGACAGGATGGCTGAGATCACACGCACAATGGTGGGACTGACGCGCCACTTCTGTCAGCCGTGAAAAAAAAAAATCTGTGTGATGTCATTCATTCAAGGAACTACCATTTAACGCAACATTTAAATTAACATTTAATGGTCTGACCAGGAAGAGGGTCTCTATTTTGGCAACGGTTTTCCTCAGGCCAGTACCCAGATGGTCTCCGACTCCAGCCAGTAGAATACCAAACATCGGGATTCCCACTAGAGCGTAGAAAATACAGAACAGCTTCCCTCCGTCTGACTGCGGGGAGATGTTTCCAAACCCTGTACATGCCAGGCGACAAGTGGAGGAGTGGTTAATTTAAAGGACAATTACATATTTCCAAGGGCTTTTTAAAAAACATGTTGTGTTCCTGGGTCTTCTGAAACGTATTACCAATGGTTGTGATGACAGTCCCTGAGAAAAACAAGGCGCTGGCTATGTCCCATTTGCTGACAAAGGTGGAGTTGTCTTTGACATTTATACCTGCGTCCAGCTCCTCCACGACCTCCTGAGACAAGACAGAGGAGAAGGAAATTCAGAAATTAAGTTTAAAAACGACACTAGTAGATTAAAACAGTATAGTTTTTTGTGACACTGCAGCAATGATTCTATAAATTCTGATTCAGTCATGATCTTTGAAACTTTGGCGTGCGAGTTCAAGGAATCACCTTTTTTTTTAATCTGTTTTGTTGTCAGAAAACAAAACCAGGTCTAAAAATCTGGCCGAAAAGTGTTACTTAACAAGTATGTTCATTTTGTATTTCGTTCTTTTTCACAACAACTAGATGATTGCAATGCTTGTTATTCACCTTGAAGCTGAGAGGAGTTTTCCCGTTAACAGACCGTCTGAATTTCAGCTGTAAGACTACGCCAAGATCCTGTTTCATTCTCACATCCTTCCAGTTCTTATCTGACTACACAGCTTCCCATAAAATTCAAGATTCAATTTAAAATCCACTTTCTCGTCTCTGAAGTGTTGACCAATCAGACTCCCTGCTACATCGGTGAACTTTAACCCCTTAAAGTCCCAAAACGTGCATGTTAGGCTGCTTTCAGGCCCGAGCCTCTGTGAGCTCAGTGGGTTTTGCCTGGTTAAATAACCATTAATAATAATAAAAATTAATAAAATAAATGACTCCTAGTTATTTCTTGGAACTGTAAATATTGTGCATTTTTTGTCCAGGGTGGAACAGTTCTTCCTCGAGTCACTTTTGAAACTAATCACAGCTAAAGAACTTCCTTTTATAAACCGATTTTATGTTTAATTAGCCTGCTTTAGGACCTTTCTTTTATTTTTTTACCACACTTTTTCACTCTACTTCTGTCTTTACTTACTCTGATCAACCTGTTTTGTATTTGTAATTATTTTTTCTATCCTTAACATGTGTTTTTTTTTGTCTTTCAGATACACCTGGACTTATACCTGGACCCACCATTCTGTGTTCGTCTGTCTCTCCTTCCTGTCCTCTCAAACCAGTCGGTCAAAGCAGATGGCCACTTGTCCTGAGCCTGGTTGTGCTGGAGGTTTCTTCCTGTTAAAAGGAAGTTTTTCCTTTCCACTGTTGCCACTGTGCAACAGTGGAAAGACAACAGGATGGGAGACTGCAACGAAGCCACGATTCAACTTGTCTGCTGGATTCCTTAGATAGAGAACTTTACAAATTGGCTTTTATGTATGTGAATGTTTCTGTAAAGAGTCCTGAGACAACTTTGTTGTGATTTGGCGCTATATAAATAAACTGAATTGAATTGAATTATTTTCTGCACGGTTTAACCATTCTTACATGTTTAACTATCTCAAAAGTTGTTTGTACTTTTTGCTCTGTTTGCATTTTACGTACTAAATAAAATACAATTGCCTTTGTCACAAGAGACTTTAGATGGAAACCTTTTGAGACAATTCAGGGAAGGATCCTTTAAATTTTGATACGTGTTTTATGATTTTGTCACTGGTTCCAGTGTTCTCTCTACAGCTCTTCTACACCAGATGGCACCAACAGGCTCAGACCTGTGGATCATTACACTAATGAGCTGTAGGCGTATAAATGACAGTGATGACTTCTCAAGGTCAAGGTTCTTTATCGTCATTCCTCATGTAGTACATGAAGTGGAACTAAATTGTGTACACAGGATCCCAGTTACATCCAACAATAGCAAAAATATAAAGTGTTTAAAAAAAACAGTAGATAAGGATCTAAGATATACACTAAACACTAATAGTGCAAAACAATACAGCGAACAACAGCAGCACGAACATGAGTCTTTGTGGGCGGGTGAGTACGAATGCATGAATACAGCAGCATGAAATAATCAGCAGCATGGATAATCAGCAGCATGGATAGTCAGCAGCACATATCAACAATCAAAGTTACATTACAATGATTTTATTAAATTTTTTGGTCATTGATGAGTTCTCCTTGATGCTGCATTACCTGCCAACTGGTAGTCGTGTTCCTGACCACATTGATGTCCCTAACACTTGTGAGAAAACCATCTTCTCCTACAGGTTCCAGTCCCTCCCACCCAGGTTGCAGTTCTATCCATCCATCCATCCATTTTCTTTGCCCGCTTATTCCATTTTGGGTCACGGGGGTCGCTGGTGCCCATGTCCAGCAATCACTGTGCGAGGGGCGGGGTACACTCTGGACGGGTCGCAAGTCCATCACAGGGCCACATAGAGACAAATGAGACAAACAAACATTCACTCTCTCACTCACACCTAGGGACAATTTAGAGTTACCAATCAGCCTAACATGCATGCTTTTGGTCTGTGGGAGGAAACTGGAGTACCCAGAGAAAACCCACGCATGCACGGAGAGAACATGCAAACTCCACCCAGAAAGGCCCCTGGACCGGGGTTTGAACCAGGGACCTGCTCGCTGAGAGGCAGCAGCTCTACCAGTTGCGCCACCGTGCTGGTTGCAGTTCTAGTGTTTCCTTATTCACTTCTTGTAAATAAACACTTTTTAACTATTGTGTCTTGGGAGATGCTCCTTTTAGTCACAACTATCTGGGTATGAGATAAAACGACACAGGATCTGTGTTTTTGTTTGATTTGAGCTGGAGTCTTGTATTTGTTCATCGTTCACTCAGTTTCTGCTTCAGCAGCCAGCCCTGCCACGCCCTCTTACACCTGCACCCTGTTCACCTGCACCCTAAAACAGCTAGTCAACCTTAGCCAACACAAAATATCTATACCTCAGTACCTTTCACAGATATTGAGAGAATAACTTGGAGTGGTAGTAGTTGAGAGCCATCCCTTACATATACTGTGACGAGTGCAATAAATCTGAGATCTGTTTAAAACTTTAGTACTGTTAAGTCTCTCCTGTTTGTCTGTTAGCAAAATATTTTATGACTCAATGGACCAATTTTATTGAATCTTTCAGAAAGTAGCAATTTAATGTACACCTAACTGATAAACTTTCAGAGTCAGCCCAAGTCTACACACATTTTCTCACGACAGCTGTTAGCTTCATCTACCAACAACATTATAATTTTAATTATTCATACTACTGATAATAAAGTTCAACTTTACAAGATCTGTTTTGCAAAATGTGTGTAATTTTTAACGTTGCTCTCAGATCGTGTTGTAGTGGAAATAAACAAATTTAAAGACCTGTTGAAACGTCTGACCTTTGGCCCGGTGAAATCTGACCCACAATGCCGAGCTGTTGTGAGGCTCAACATCAGAGGAATAACTGAGAGCTGCTCAACTCGTAAATAAAATCCCTCCGGTTCTTATGTGAGCAGCACACTGCACTGTTTTGCAACATGACTTTATTATAACTATAGAAAAAAGTGCTTAATAGATACATGTATTTTTGATATTAAAGTGACTAGAATTTCAAAAAGACTGTGATGCCGTTTATGTCGTTATTAATAATAAAGAGTTAAGTGAGGAATTAAATTACAGAAGATTTACACTAACTTTAGTTTTATTAGTTTTTCATAAATACATACATTTCATAACAGTGTCATTGTTTTAGCAGAGCAGGTAAAATAAATAAATGAAAGTGTCAGCTGTGACTCTAGAGCAGACGTGGGCAATATATGGCCCGGGGGCCAAAAGTGGCCCTTGGACAATCTCTAGCCGGCCCTCAATATACTTAATTGAAAACAACTTTTAAATAAGTTGATGAAAATCTGCATTTTATCAATGAAACTTAAGTCTAAACTAAACATCTTGGACATTTACATCATTAAATTTACATCAAAAAGTTTTGGATTAAGAAATGCCAAAACTTTTTCCTGAAGTCGTCGTGTTTCCAGCACTGAACCTTAAAGACTCAAAAAAGAAAGTGCATGGTGTTGTTTTTTTACGTTTATGCTAGCAAACATATTGTCTCAAGCTGTTTTACAAAGAACATGTCATATTCCTAGAGTATTGAGGAAACGTTTTTTTAAATCAAGCATGCACTTCATTACAACAAGGTAAAGCCTGAAAGAAGTGTTCCAGATTATTTGTCTTAAAGAAAATCTATTTACAGTTTCTCTATGTGGCTCTTCGATTGATTTAAATACCTTAATTTGGCCTTCTGGGAAAAAATTTTTGTGCCCATCCCTGCTCTAGAGTAACGTTATAAAGCATCTTAACAAAAGTTTAACTGTGATCTTTTCTTACCCTCTAACGCACGGTTGTCCTAACTATGATTTAGAAAGACTTTTAGTTGGTGTCTAAAAAAAGTGTAAAACTGAAAGTAATGGATGAATCAATTCAGTGTGAAATTTAATATTAAAAATTAAAAATGTTGCAATGTTTCAAACTAAAGTTTGAAGCTTCAAACTGCTCTGCTTTTAACCACTTTACGATGAAGTTACTTAAAAGTGAAGTATTTCATCCTTTAATTTACGTTTCATCTTTCAGTGTGTGTACTGTTGATAACCATTAAGACCCATCAGACTTTACAACGTTGCAAAACCGTGGCAACAAAAGTCTGACACCGTCTCTGAATGTGATCCGAGCGTTTTAATCTCACACATCCACCATGGCTGTTCAGACCTGCTGGTAAAAATGGTAAGTAGATCGGACTGCATTCACAGAGCTATAAACAGGGCTGGACAGCCTCGAGCATTCAAAATGTTTCCCCTCAGACCACCTTCGGGTGTTATTTAGACAACTTTGTCTGCATACATCTGATAGTCTGAGCATGACGACCCATCCACGGCCAAGCTCTAAGACCTCCTGGATAACAAGTATTTATTTATTCTTTTGCTTCTTTGGCTAAAAGTCTTAATAAACTCTTTATCAGAATTCCCCTCAAGGTTTTCTTAATCAGAGCGGATTACAGGATGCTGCGTGAGTGTTGAGCTGGTGAATGCATTTGTTTTGTTGCTGTTCTGACTTTTTGTTGCTAGAGGGCGCTGCTGTGACAGAGCAGAGGAGACTGTGTTGCTTGAAATAAGACAATAAAACTTGGGATGCACCGATCCACTTTTTTAAACTTCTGATCCAATCCCGATACCCAAGTCTGAATATCGGCCGATACCGATCCAGTTCCGATATCA